CAGAAGGTAAAAAGAAAACATCAGGATAATCACTGATTAGATGGGTTAGTAATAGTCAATCAAAACAGGTTGCCCGCAGCTCGCTAGTACAGGTAACTTCAAATGCAAGCAAAACTGAAAACCAAGAAGGACATTTGAAAAAAAAAAAACGATCATAATTTTTTGTTCCTTTTTCCTCAATTTTTTTAGAGAATTTTGCAACAGAAAAATACACAAACAGAAGTAAATTTGGCTTAGACATACTAGAATAAGTACACTGTTTCTACTTCTTCTTACTCTTCATCTGCAAAACAATGCCAGCAAACAACAGTTCAGACGAAGAAGTAAAGACAGAAAATATCAACAAGTTTTCTGTTAGTAATAACAAATAAAGTGTTAATCACAAATGAAATATTGTCTTTTGAAAATTGAAATGAAGTAAAATGACGAAAAAGAGACGAAGGAATAAGACATAGCTAAACTTGATAAAGCCAGACAAATGGATAACTGTTAATGAGCAACGAATACGGTGTCTTTTGCTATGTGCTTTATGTGTCATTGCGTGTCTAAGTTTGTGTGTGTCCGTGAGTTAAGATAATAATGACGACAACAATAACAATGTTTACGATAATAACAGTGACAATAACAACAATAATATTGGTGATAGTGATAGTAATAGTGATAATAATAATAGTAAAAATAATAATAACAATAATAATAATAATGGCAATAATAATAATAATAACAATAGTGATGATAATGACAAACAGATAAAAAAACAGAGAAAAAGAAATGGAGGAGAAAACCAGAGCAAAAAAAAAAAAGCTGAATTGAATAAATGTCACAGTTCTGTGAACGATTAATTGGATTAGTGTGATGAGGTCAGTTTAAAAAGCCTGTTATTGATGAAAATTTTTTTGTTTTTCATTTTCTTAACTTCAAAACCTTTCGCTTGTCTTTTTTCAGCCTATGAATCCCATAATATTACCCAAAAGTGATGATAAATGTTCAAATACCTTTTCATACACTAACAAAACGACAATAAACAACCAAATGAGATTATTGCCACCGTTACTGCTGCTCTGCATCGTCAAGATGTTGTCAAAGCAGTTTCCGTTACCCACCGTAATTATATTGTTGTAATGATATTAGCAGTAGCAGTAGTACTAGTACTAGTACTAGTACTAGTAGTCATAAATGAAGCATGTAATCAGCACTGCTTATGCTAGCCAGATAGCAAGCTTAATAGCATAAACAAAATAATAAAAAAAGCAATCTAAACTATCGTCTGTTACAGCAGTAACTCTAGTCAAATACACTAAACACTGAATAATCATTCACCGGGCAAGGAACTACAGACCTGATGATGCTGAAGTGATGCTTGTTAGATAGGTAAATGATAACGATGCAATGCTGGAGTAACTGAACAGTTATAATATAATTATTTTTGTTATTATTGTTGTTATTACTACCAATATTAGTGTTATTATTTTAAATATTATTAATATTGTTGTTAAATATTGACGTGTTTTTGATGATATATGTAAAGTGCTGTTGTTAATCTCCACATACAAGTGACTGTCAAAAAAATGGTTAATAAAACAACAAAACTGAAAAAGTTATTATCGAATGCATTATTTTAAAGACAAATCAATTTTTTTTCCTTTCGAAGCTTGATGATTGAACGTTTGTAAAGCGGAAAAAAACATTAAAAAAAAAAGAAGAAATCATCAACCAATATTTTAAGTATGGTGTTTGTTTAGTTGTGCGCAAATTAAGTTCAATTAACATGCAAAAAAAAATAAATAAATAAAAAAAAAATAAAAAAAAAAAGTAAAAAAGCACTGGTAGAAAAGAATGACA